GGGTGTGTAGGTGTGGGTGTGGGTGTGGGTGTGGGTGTGGGTGTGGGTGTGGGTGTGGGTGTGGGTGTGGGTGTGGGTGAGGGTGTGGGTGTGGGTGTGGGTGTGGGTGTGGGTGTGGGTGTGGGTGTGGGTGTGGGTGTGGGTGTGGGTGTGGGTGTGTGTGTGTGCGCGTGCGTGCGCGCCCCCACGATGTCCCCTGCCTCAGCGTCTCTAGGCTACACAGCATCGGAGTTGCTACTGTTATGGACAGTTCAATGGGATGCGGTCACAGCAGTTGCAGCCAACTCGCAGCGATGGCCCACATGCTTAACTTGCGGGTTGCATCCGGACTGTGCTGCTTTTTTGTCGCTATTGCGGTTGCACTCAGTTTGAGCTGGGATGGCCTTGGCAAGCCGCCCACGAGCGTGATGGGCCTGAGACTTTATGACCAAGGAACGCCAGCCAAGAAGCTGCACACAGCACAAAAGCCCGAAGATCCTGCAATATGCAACGCCTCCTGTCCGTCCATTTCTCCGCTGAAGGCATGGAAGCCTTTTTCAAACATGCATGTCATGACAAATGTGCAAGTGCTTTGGTCCGGGAATGGAACCAGCAATGTGAAGGAGGTCATGGTGGATGAACGAGTTAAGATCGAGATCGATAGGCCTTTCTCCTTCGAGGATGCCCCCAATGTTTTTGCTTGGATCCGCTCAGAGGCCGAGGACATTCTCTATGCTGAGCTTGGCACTCCCAGTGTGGGTAAGACCGAGATTGAGGGATGGAAGGTGTCCTTCAAAATCATGGATCCTGGCCGGTACATGGTTTATCTTTTTGCCGTGACGCCGCCTCCACGCGCCAACCGGCTAGAACCGAGAGAATACAGGATCGAGGCCCTCAGTGCCAAACCCCAAGAGCTGCAGGTTTCTCACTTGAGCGAGGGGGGGGGCCTCTTGACATCCTTTGATGCGAGCAGTATTCCCAAGCGCCATTGTCAACTAGGACTGGACGAGATGAGGGGACGATGGATTCGCAGTAGCGTGGTCAGCGAGGCAGCTAGATGCCTGAGCTTGGGGTGCCCAAGGGATGGTTGGACGTACGTCTCAAGGACATGCTACTGGAACGTCTTGAGCAAAGCGGACACCTACAAGCTCCTGGAGATGATCGACAGAGAGCCCGGGAAGCCCCAAAAGCCCCTTTCCTTGATTGCCGCAGGGAGCTCTGTTCTCCGTGGGAGCCTGCAAAGTCTACTGGACGCCTTGGTTCCGAATGCTTGGCAGAGTTTCGCCGGAATCAAAAGTATCCCGGGAGTGGGCACGACCGTCAAATGCTGGGGTTGGCTTGAATATGAGGTCGATAGGCAGCTCCATCTAGCCTTCCATGACTGGCGCCTGCCTAGCTACGAAAAGGGTGATCGAAACTGGGCCTCAGCAAGGATTTCGAAAACACTGAAGGAGAATCATGAGATTGTTGTTATCGAGCTGGGCTTCAACATGCATTCCGACCAAAGGAGCTTGGATAATGAACTGGAATCTTTCTGGAGCCCTATTTTCCAGGAGGTGCTGCCGACTCTGACGGGGAAAGTCATCTTGTTCGCAGGACTCTACAGCCCTATGAATTTTCCAGTTTGTGTTCAAGAGAAGTGTGCCATCAGCTGGGGTCGGGCTGCGTGGGTCCAGCAGAGTGTCGACAAGCTAGTCGAATCCTGGCCTAACAAGACACGGGAGGCTTCCCAAGGGAAGCTCCTGGTCGTCGACCCTGCACCTATGGCACTGGCCATGTTCTTTGATGGCGAAACAGAAATGGGTCAGGGCATGTCTGCCTCCCAACACTGGCATCGCTACGAGTACTCGCAAGAGCCGGGAAGGAAGGTCTTCGGCACCGTCGCTGACGTGCTGGGTCAACTCTTCGTCTCGGAGCTCCTTCGAGGTAGGAAATTTGTTGCGGAACGCGAGAGTTTTCAGAGCCCTCAGCCGAACCAAACGACACGAGCCTGTGCGCAGTGCCCGGAGACAAGCTGCTGCCCGTGGCGGCCTGTTCCACTGGAGTTGAAGTACAGCCTCGCAAAGGTCGAGGCTGTGCCACACTTCGATAGCTGGGCCCAGTTGCCCCTTGAAGGCTGCGGCAGAATGGATTCAAAGCGCGCGGTCAAAAAAAGACAGGCGCATGCGAGGCCTGCTGTGGTCCGCTAGGGCTCCGCGACGGCTGGTGGAGATGCTGCTCGCTGCAGGCTCCGAGTGGAAAACGCCATGCTAAAGAGTTCCAGAGTCATGCGAGGCCTCCTGAAACCGGCACACGGGCACACCACCCACGAGTTTGCCTGGGCCCAGTCCCCCAGATCACCAAAAGGGAGGCTCTGTCGACAGCCACAAGAAGCCGTGAAGCTGAAGCCATGGGGAACAACTGCTGTGCCAGCTCCGACGGCGATAAAGGCGATGTGACTTGGCAGTGATTCAGCAAGCTTGCGTACCCTGTAACCAAGTCGAATGGACTGGTAGCCGACTTCTAAGCAAACATAGCTAGCAATCAGTTTCCACGAAGGTCGCCGTTACGAAGCAAGTTCGCGTCCAAGACATCGTGGACGCTCACAGCTCTGTGGCAACTCAGCTGAGAGGAGATGGGAGAAAGGGCCACAGGCGTTCCCTATACTATAGACTTGGCCTCGGTGACAACCTTCCCTCGTATACATTTGCAACTGAACCCTGTTCGAAACTCTGAGAAAGCTTCATGTGCAGTATCAGTTGGTGAAGATAGAGGCATCTGGCGGCATACTTCACCAGATAAACCTTTGGGATATTGAGAAAGCCCGAAGCAGGTGAAAGGTCCCTGACCCAGTTCGTCGCGTCAGTCTGAGATCTCGGAGTAAGGTCCAGTCTGGCGCAGACCTCGCTTTGCTGGAAAGGCTGCAAGGCGCGCAGCAGCCTCAGGGCCTGAAAGTACCACAGAATTTGTCCGCGCAGGATCCTCTTGGATACGCAAGTCGGATGGCAATGCAATGGCCGCTCAGCGTGGCTTTCGGGGTAGCCGAAGAGTCAAGTTTCTCAAAAAGGTGGCCACGGCGCAATCAGCTCTTGCTTGCCTTCTAGCTGCGGCATGCCCCGGCTCAACTGAGGGCCAGATCCAAAACTCCGAAGTCGTCTGGGACTCCGCAACGTTGCATTCGCACATGGCGTTCCGCTGCTAGTACTAATCGTTTAATCCTCGCAGATACTCTACCGTGGGGTCGTTGAGTTGCAACTTCGGGCATGACGCTTCGAGATGGCCAGCCACAGCCAGCCACATGGTGGGTTGTGGGCTTCCTGAAGTTTCCAATGTTGACTGACAAGAGGACCACGACGCCAAGCGCTCACTTTTATCATGGCACAAGCATGGTAAACGGCGAGAGCTCGACGTTAGCCTTTCTCGGACATAAGTTTACGACCTTTGACGGAGCCTAGAGTGTTCTTTCGCAATGCGGTTCGCAGCTTCGAACAGATTTGTGGCAATAGCTTGTCTGCCAGTGGCGAACATTCGGGAATTGATTGGATCGAGTTTTGTCTTTGCTGCTGACATCGGCCTGTCTTCCAGGACAGCGGCTTCAAGTCCGCCAACAGCAAGCTGAGTTCGAACGGCACCGCTACGATAGCGGCAGCCTCAACCATCCTCAACCCCTTCATGACGAGGGAAGGGCCTAAGCAGCATGCCAAGGTCATGAACATAAAAGACAAGGACAAGTCCTACAGCTTCTCAGGTGCACGGGATGTCAATGAGGGTCGAGGCTTTATATAAGCATCCCCAAATTCACCGAACCTCTAGGTACGGTGGCCTTCGAGGACCCGGTGTCCATCACCTGGTCGGATGGCGATGTCTGGACGCGAGTCACAGGCTGAAGATGGCTCGAGGGTTGGTAGAAACCTTCAGCCGCAGGGTTTATCAGAGGGGTGCGACACAATGTAGATTCTTGATCTTCGAAGACTTCGTCTCAGAGTTCTTGAACCAGTCCGTTTCTCCTTGAGATGAAAGCCCACGCCCTGGGCCGGCGATTTGTTAAGAGTAAGTACGTGGTCCGCGGTTTGAGACACCAACGATGATGGCAGTTTGAGCTATCAACGGAGTTGAAGATTCCCATTCAACTCCGTTGTACACGTCAGTGTCACCACAGCACGCGATGGAGTGCTGAACGTCCTGCCACCGTGCGTCCAGTGCATGAAAGCGGTTAGCTTGGCAGCAAGTTCACCATGACTCAGCCCCATGCACTGCTACACCAAGCCCTTCTTGAAGGCTAGTCTTGCCTTGGAACGGGTCTGCCTTGCTAGAGACCGATTCTTTGTCCAGTTGGCCGCATGTTGCCATGTGCTATACAGTGAACTTCTCGTGTCTTGCGCCGACAGCTGTGCACGTTTCATGATCAATACGATGCGGAGACTTGCAGAAGCTTCGAGAGACTAGCCTTGTTGACATTCTTAGCATGCTGAGTTGCTTTTAGGCTTGGTTCATCCGCATCACACCTCCTACAGTACCAAAACCTTCAAAACTACACCCTGTCGAAAAAACCAAACTCAGATCGAGCCTATTGTGGTGTCAACTTGCGCGAAATCTGCCATCGACTGTCGCCTCACATGAGGCTGCCATGCCGCTTTCAAGCACCTTGTCAATCATGCGTGGCTGTGGCCGAGGATGCCAGCCATTGATGATTCAAACTTATCTTGAAGCAAGGCTCATACAATCAACAGACAGGGGCTGCTTGACCAGCCGCCACGCGCATCCGCACGACTTTAACGCAGCAGCCGGGGCTTGAAGCAACAGGAAAGAACAATCTAGTGATCTAATTAATGTTAATGACTGTCAGTGTCTTCTGGTGGAAGGTGTTTAGATCTGTGCCTCTCGAAGTTCATCGACGGTGGAAGCGGGTTTTCTTTACTGCAGCGCTCGAAGTTTCTCCTGCTTGGATAACCGCGGGACGGTACTACTTCACAGCCTCAGACATGTCCGACGTCAGTCTGCTGACTGGCATGGAAAAATTCTTGCCTGTGCGGGATGCACCTCACACCGTGCAAAGTCCGGGAGGTGAGGGGACGCCCGGGACATGGAGGCTGCATGCAATATGTCCCGGTCACAGGTGATGGCTTCCTGCTCTTTTGAATCAGGTTCTTAAGAGATCGACCCCTTGCAGCACGAGTCGCAACGACCTCGCCCCAAAAGCTCCCTGTGCCGGCGTCCATCTCGCCGGCTACGTTTGCAGTCAGAGCATCTGTTGGCCAAACCGGCGCGCAGGAAAAAGACGTTGCCGGGGTGCAGAGTTGGAAGGATCGGCTTGCCCAGAGCCCCAAGGAAGTCGAAGCAGTGTTCCCTTAACAACCCTGCCAGCCCGCCTTTGCAAGGACCTGAGTATGGGTGGTAGGAGCTCAGATGTCTCGTTCGAGTCGGCATCCGAACTTGAAAGCGATAAGCCGCAGGTGGACAAGGAGGAAGCTGTTGCCAAGGAGAGAGTGCTAAGAGATTAAGTCGATCCGGGATAGCCGGCGGACTGTTGCCTTCAGAATTAGGCCACTCACTGAGTGACTGACTCACTATACTGAGTCACTGCCGCTGCAGGAAGCACAGGCCGCCTGTGAGATCGACGAGAAGGAAGCCGGCGAGGCTGGGAATGGGCGAAGCAGCGACACTCCCATTCTCTTTGTCTCGTCTCTCTTCTCTCGTCTTCAGCCGTGGTAGTTTGGAGGTTTCAGAGTGCTGCCCCATAGGCTGCAGCCACGGCCAATGCGATCAAGACAGAGTGCCAGAGGGAGCTGGACGAGGAGCCGTGCTTTGCGTTGTCATCGAATGTTTGCTGCAAAAGGAAGGGCTCGGGCGGAGAAAAATGCTAATAGCGTGATGCAGGCTTCAGGCATACAGGTGGGATTTGTAGCTGTCAAGCAAAGCAACTTGGTCGCAGGCGCTGCCGGAGTACTACGATGCCATTAAGGCCTTGGACTCTTTGGACAAGAAGGACATCCAGGAGGCACGTGGCAGATGGCTCAAGAGGGCTCTAAGAGTTGGAGCCTGGTAGAACAGCATGGACTGGCTGGAGCACGGCCAGCCTGCATGCGCAGCTGGTGCAGGTGAAGTCCTTCGCGAAGCCTCCTGCCTTGGTGGAGGTTGTCCTCAGTGCGGACCAGGGCTCAGTCACAGCTCAGCAGAGATTGGACACGCTTTTATTGCAGGAGGCCCGTGACTGTTTCGAGAGCAACGGGTGCCAGAGTTCACCGCTACAGCCGCACGGAAGTTCTGGCATCTCCGAAGGTGTGTTTGCTCATGAACAAGAAGGAGACTTGGGACGAGGCACACTCGAGCACGGAGGGAAGCCAGAGCTTCTGCACGGCTGCACGAAGCATACGGAAACTCTTTTGGTGCAGAGTTCCTGGCAGGCCAAGAAGGTGATGAACGACACGGGCTTCCTGCAGTCCCTCAAGGACTACGACAAGGCCCGAAGGAACTACTCTTGCTTTTTGAATTCGAGTCTTCAATGGAAGGGTAGTACGTCATTACGTTGTTCAGACAGCTTAACGTGCACAGTGCCCTTTCTTGACTCTCCCATCCTGGTCTTGTTGGCTTGTTGCTCTGCGGGCGACTTGGATGTGTGTGGTTTTGATTTACCCACTGACTTGGACCAGTTTCGTTCCGTCAGATTCACCGACGGGTTTCATCGGATCGGCCCGCTTCTCCTTAGATTCCGAAAGATCGTCAAGGCAGCTCGGCACATTCCAGGGCTGTAAGGCTGTAAGCCCTTTCCTGGCGGTCTGGACTTCCCCGACAGACTCCGGGCCTGCTTTGCACCCGACCGAGGTGCCAACATACCGTTAATCATGTTCTTCATGCGCTTGCGCTTGGGGCAAATTGGGGCAAAGACAATGTGCCAGCTAACAAGCAAGGAAAAATAAGACCGTGAGAGGATGGGCAGTCCTGGAACGCGCAAGCCAAGCACCCAAACCGCTTGAGAAGCTTCAAGACTTCACGTTACTGACTCGAAGAGTAGTGGTATACTGAGTTGTGAGATTGCCTGTCGAGGACGCTTTGGCCGGGAATGTGAAACTGACCCAGAAGCTCCAAAAGTATGTCTCAGCCTTTGGGGGTCCGCGGTGCAGCAAGGATTTCAGACCTCTGCGCCTCTCGAGATCGGATGTAGGCAGCCTCTATAGCTGCTCTAGCTTGCCCATGCCGTCCTTCGCGTCTGGAGCAGACACCATGCCCGTTTGTCGTCACCACTTCCTGAGCAAAGCTGCCTTTAGCGCCAAGGTAAAGCGGGAAGACTTTCAGCCAGATCAGGCTGAACTTGAGACGCTCTGACGCTGCCGTGCCTTTGGAGCGGAAGAAGCTGCTCTTGAGGTGCGAAAAGTGTCGAATGCGGCCACGTCGCTGTGCATGTGGGTGCGGGCCATGGACGTGTCCGAGGCTGAGAGCGGCTGGTAGCTGGCTTCGGTTCCGGACCGGTGAACAGAAAATGCCCCTAAAGGTGGCTTTGGGGTAAAGCTTAGGGCTCAGGATGCAGGCTGCCGGTGGCTTAGGGCAATCCGACGTCTGCAACGTGCTCGCATCAGAAAGCACAATGATCAACAAGTCGCATACACCTGCAGGATCGTTTGTCCCTCTGTGGATGTGCATGTGCGTGTCGGTGTATGCCCGCGCATGGATTCGTGGAAAATGGGCCGCTGCATCCGCAGGTACGCGCGCGTGGCTCGCTCCATCGAGCCGAAGAAGGAGAAGCTGAAAGGAGCCGAGGCTGGGTACAGAGAGGCGGTGGAGCTGTCACCCCCTAGGTACCGGTGTGACTTGAAACGAGGGTGGCGGATTGCGCGCATAGTGAAAGACTGGTCCCTGCCATGATAGAAATTTATGGTCAGTGCCGCTCATCTGCGCGCAATTGTAAAAGGACGCCTTTGCGACAGCGGAAGCAAAGCTGCAGGCGAAAAAGAAGGACGGGGAGCAGCCCAAGCGCCTGCAGGGTGATTGCAGGTTCAAGTTTTCAGAGGAACCGTCAGCTAAAACAAGCGGTCTCTGTTTTGTCCACGCTGCGGATTGCACCAGCGGACATGCCATGAACGCCTTCGGGCCTTGCAGGAGCTCCAGGTGGTACAAGACAATGCCTGCGCCTCTGAGATTTATCTGCGAAATACCGCGGGGTTTACAAGTTCGGCATCGCCTGTTCGCCTGTGTTTTTCTGTCACGAGCCGTGCCCCGTGGTGCTTGTTTCCAGGTGGCTGCGCTGCAGCAGCAACTTGCAAAAGCCAGGCAGAAAGACGGCGAACTCTTAGTTGTCGCTTAGCGACCCTCCCGTAGCAAAGTCATCGTGGACCACGCCATCTGTGACGATAGCTCTGAAATCTGGAAGGAGCAAAGCGGAGAAGCTCGAGCAAGACGCTGAGACCTGCAAGGCTGCCAGCCCTTGAAAGCGCCAGCTGAGCGAATCCCCAATAATATCTGTTCCCACCGTGATGCTGTTCCAGGAGAGTTGGCATGACCCCAACCATCCGGGTTTCCGATATCATCTCGAAAAAATAAGGCGTCTTGTAGACATCCGCACATGACACGTTCGCAGCTGCGATGCGGTCCGCGCCGGCGGGAAAGGAGTCTTCTGATGGCCGAAGGTTGTTGCTCTAAGAGACAGGTCCAGCTCACTCGAGCGGAGAAGCTGTTGTCCGGATTGGGCAACGAGCCAGGGCCTCAGACCAGGCCCCCCCCCCCCCGCGCTGTGCCTCCCGACGTGTACGGAGGTCTGTGCGCTGGGATGCTGCGAGCCAAGTCCTGGAGAAGAACATCAAATTCGTGATGGGCTGCTTCCCCGGTCGTTTTGGTCTTCTCCGGCGCTGCCATAGTGACAGTGGCTTCAGAGAAGTGGGACGCCTAAATTGGA